TTTTTTTTTTTTTTATTTCTCCTGTAAGTTAAAGCAAATGAGTAATTGTAGAACAGTTTTGCAGGAATAATTTGTGTAGTTCAGTTCTTTCAATGAAAAGGGTGGTTTGCAATAGACGTGTGCATTCTCACTACATCAAGATGGTTTAAATTGAATGTCAACAACACTATTTAACCTACTGTGTGGTGCTTCTTTTTTACTCTATCTCTTTCTTGCATTCCTTTCCCTTTTCATTTTTTCTTTACTTGTTTCAGCCTCCATCATATTAGTCAGGTTGAGAAGCCAATCTGCTCAGCATGGTTTTTATTGGGGTTATCTGCAAGAAAAATATGGTTTGTTCGTTAATGCATTAACTGATTTTTTTGATGGAATAGAGCGATGTTTTTATTAGCAGACAGATGATGTTCTTGTCTTACTTGCATTCATCACTTAGTGTATGGAAAAACTCATTGCTTCATTATGGAAACTGGTGAAAATTTTCCTAGTGTTTAGGCACGTTGTCATCCCCTAAGTCGGTAGAGTTTATGGGCAAGAAGTTTGTTCTTCGCTTGTTGTTCTATGATTCTATGATAACCATCTTTACACAGATTATTGTTGCAGTTGATTACATAACGTCAAATCATCGTGCTTAGCCGAGGAAATCCCCAGATTCTTGTTGTCCTACATAATTCCTTATGGCTTCTCATAATTGACAAATCTTACTTTCTTTAGAAGATCCACCTCTTCCGTCTTGTCTATTGTGTGATGCAGGCTATATAATATTTCATACCGTATGCTTGGGAGATGTTCAGAGTACAGTGATAAAGAACAGGTTATGTACACGATCTCTTGCTACTTATTCTTATCATATCCAGTTTATGTGATGTATCAGTAATTCAGAATGATCATGAAAGTTTCTATTTTTGTATCAGGTGGATTGTAACTTCAGTTGGAACCTACACAACAATGACACGTGTCATTGTGCTTCACCCTTCTTCTACAGTATTCAGATAGCGAGAAAGAAACTTGCAGTTGGTTAGTCGAAGCTAGTGGTGATTGAACTAGTGAAGATAACTAAAGAGAAAATCAAAATTTTACCAGATCCGAGGAAAGATCTTCATTTCAACATACTAATCAGATTTATCAATATGTTATGTTCTAAATTCTTCTAATCTGTGCCCAACGACCTGTTTGGCGGAATCAACTTTGCCAGTTCTAAATTTCTGCCGTCAACATTCTCATCTTGTATCGTGTTCAGTATATTTCCTTTTTACATTCCTTTTTTTTCTGAAAAGATGCGACATTGCAGTAAATTGGAGGGCCGGGAACCGACACATCAAACCTTTACTCCACGGTAGTTTGTCCATTTTGAGGTAATCTGATATTGGTTAGCTAGATTTTTAATTTCTACATCATGTTGCATCTGGGAAGCAAATGTACTTGGTCTGAAATGTTTATAGCGTGGAAGTGAAAGCAGACGACGTTTTCTAGTTGGGGGAAAGATGAGAGCCATACCAGATCATGAAAAATAAAATTGCATAAGAGTATATATGTGTTTATATGTATTAACAAGGTCAATGAAGTAAAATATGGCCACAATACGTCGTATCTGCTTCTACACTGTCGAATTTATTATTTAATGTACTCATATCAAGTCTCCTTAATAATGAAACAGATCAATAAGGTTGATATAATGGGAAGGAAAGGCTTTTCAAGCATGAGGATAAATTCATGGACAACCCATTAGCGTTCCTGTAAGTTGTACCTTCATTAGCTACATTCCTGCAGTTCTTGAGCTTTTGAGTGTGGTTTTTTCTTTTAGTTCACTTGCCAGTACATTTCTCTCTTTTAAATCAGTGCTAATCGATGTGTGATTACTGAAAATGAGAGTAATGCAATCCAAAATTTGGGGTTCCATTGTTGGTATTGTACCGGCATTGATTCTTTTGAAAAGAACCCATATACTTTATTTATCTAAAATATCGAGTCACGATTCACAGCTCTAAATTGTCAGCCACACAATTAAGAAAATTCTTGAACGATGAATACGCCCATTTATTTGTGGCTGCTGCTGTTTTTAAAATCTCAGAATTATACATCTTTTAAGTTTTTTTTTGTTCTCAACTTAGGCTTGGGTGGTGTTTCCATATAAACACACTTAATATTTTCGTCAAAATAGCTTTCATTGTTGCCGTTATCCTCTTTTGTTCAATTTGCCTCGTCACTAATGATAGTATGGCGTTGTTTTCTTTTCTCTCTTTGGTACTTATTGTTGCACTTTTAACTGCCTTGACTCGTCATATATGTATTGAATCAGTTAACATTACTGTAGAAATCTATTGACAGCATTGGTTCTAAAGCATATCAGTAGCATATGAACTATCTTTGAACGTTTCGCCTCTACATTGATATTGTAAGTTCATTTTGGTAGCATTCATGCCGTAATATGCTGAAAATAGTCGAAGTAGGACTTTCTGCAGATTCTCTGGTAGCAGCACATAAGCAATCATTTCTGTTATTGAAACAGAAGCTTTTGTTCGACGTTGGTCTAGTCGGTGCACGATGCCAGCCGCAACAGAGATCAAGGCATGTGCACCTTCTAAACATTACTTATAAAAAGGTTAAAGGCTGGGATCGATAGAATTCAGCATGCATTTGACAATATAAAGCACTGTTCGTTGATAAAAAGGCAGCAGGAAAATACCTATAAATTAAAATAAAATCAAGACAATAAAATTACTCCTACCAAAATCAAACTGACTCTCCTTGCTACACCCTAACCCTCATTCTTCTGCCCCTCAGGAAACAGCTCGTCCGTGAGGGCCGGCGCAATCCACTGTATCTGATAATATGTCGTGTCCCACAGATCGTCTTCACCATCCATTGTCAGTATCCCCTTCTCCTTCATGCTAGTCACAATCCTCCTCAGCAGATCCGGGACCTCCTCTGTCATCCTCAACTCCCCATACTCCCCAAGATCTGCCTTCATGCACGTGTCCATCCTCCTCAGTATCCCCAGCCAGAAGGTCCTGAAGTTGGGGCTTTCCGAAATCGGCTTCAGAAAATGCAAGTACACGTCCGTCAGCACCTCCATCGACAGCCTCAGCGTGCCCTCCATGCTCCTCGTCTCCCTCTCCGCATTCTCCCTCCTCGAATACTGCACCATCTTCTCGTGAAGGTCATCCACCATCGCGAATATTATGTTGTAGAACGAGTTTATGCAGTTGGTGGGCGTGAACAGAAGCTCCTCTGCTAGGATAAAGCTCTTCTGGAGGGAGATGACCGCATGGTTCCGAACTTCTTCCCTCCGAGCCAGGCTCGTTTTCTTGAGGGACTCTCCCAGTCGCTGGAACAGGCTGACTGGGTTGTAAATCCGAGCGCCTTCCTCAACCGAGGCATTGCTCGAGGAGGTACTCGAGAAGCTGCCTGGGTCCGAGTACCCGGCTTTGTACCAATCAACGAGCTGGCGAGCCGAGTCGGCCAGTAAGTCCATAATCCGAAGGTTTCGGTCGACCCTACTGTTGCGGAGGGCGACGAACGCGAATGCGCAGTCGATGATGTAAGAGTAGTTTGCGCGCGTAATGTTGGTCCCGCTCGACATGAGGCCAATGAGGGCCTCGACTCCCCTGTCGTAGGTCTCGGGGTGGCGGCCCGTGGCGGAAAGCAGGTGGAGTGTCGACATCCAGCCGAGTGGGGTCTGTAGCCTTCCCGGATAGTCGGACACGATTCGAGCAGCTGATTGTATGAGTGGCTCGCAGCACGTGTCGAGCACTTCCTTCTCCATCCTCCACATCAGGTTCACCGACTTGAAGATGAGCTCCTCCGAGCCTTCGAGGCGGTTAGATGCAAGGAGGCTCACGCACGTACGTAGGAGGTGGACGATGGCCTTCTCGGAAAACGGGATGGGTGAGAAGAGCGGGAACTGGGCAACCTCGAGGAGATAGTCGTGGTAATGGGGCCAGAAGGCTGGGAACCGGTGTGCATTGGCGCAAGACAGTAGACTGATCAGCTCCCAGCAGAATCCGACAGTCTCGTCCTCCTCGATCGGCGTACTGAACTTCTGCCCCTTGCCGGCGGCCGCGAATATTAGGCAGCGGCCAAGGTTTAGCAGGGAGTCTACAGGCAGCGTCGAGCTTGTGCTGAAGATGCTCCCGATTCGGCACTGCTGTATGATGGTCATGTTCTGCTCGAACTCGCCCATCCCGAGGTTTAAGGCCTCCTCCACGCTCTCCATTGACATGAAATTCAGAAATCTCGCCATTATTCCCGAGCTGTGCCGCTTGTTTCCGAGCCTTGCGTCTTTCAACTCGGGTTTATTACCGGCCATGGGCGAGTTTGGCGCGTTTTCCGGCTCGATGACGGACTGCGGGAGAAGTTTGAGCCTCTTGAGCTTCAGCAAACAGTCGATGATCGTCCTCCATCCACCCCTGATCGAGTCCTTGAACATGTTGGCAATGGTGAACACGGCCAGGATCGCCATCTTCGGCTTCATGTCGTGGCTGAACGCGTAAAGCGTCTCCTCGGCCGACGCGTACGGGTTGAGAAGCGTGGTGAACTTACAGAACGAGCCGAGGAGCTCGTCCAGGACGTCCTCGAGCCCGTACTGCGCCACGCGGGCAATCGAGAACAGGGCCTCGATGCAGCCGTGCAGCATCTCCTCGTCATCCGAGTGCTCGAAGG